CTCTTATCCTGACTCAATTACTTTCTTGTAGGAAAGAACAAAAGACTACAAAAGAGGACTAAAACTTAAAGAGTGCTTATCTGGTAAAGATCACTGGTCAACATGGACTGTCAGAGGCATAACAAGAACACCAAATTAACACAGCCCAACCATTATACAAAGGACAGGGGAGAGGGAATGAACAATTTGTCTCTGTTGATATGTTTTTGTAAAATTTGTATGTATTTTACCTAAATGTTATATATTTAATGAAACTGAATTGCCTTAATGTATTCCTCTGTAATATATATTCTGATGAAGATCTTGGTTCTATATTATAAAGTTAAAAAATAGAAGTTGGTATCCTTATATAACTTTGATGGGGATTTTCCAAAGCAATTTGAAAACAAAACAAATAAATATATTGAGTGGCTCTTCAAAAAAACAAACAAAAAATCCCAGTTATACACTGCAATTAATCATAGCTCTATCTTGCTTTCAAAATTAAAACAGCACTAGGAAAACATGCCAAGTCAAACCTTGTAGAAAGTTCCAATTCAGTTATATTTTCTGAGTGAGATGGGAACCTTCTAGGGACTCCCTGACTCTTCATTTAATTTAATTTCATTCACGCAAAAACTCAAAAACTAGCCCAGAGATCACTTGCCCATCTTGGGCATGTAGGGTGTGGATGGTGTAGCCATGACACAACCTCAATTCTTCAAATTCCAAATCCCAAGGTTTCCTTCTACTGTACTTATCATTGTTCATTCAGTAACTTAGGGTTTACTGACTATAAAAGGTATCCAGGATGTGTGAAAGGAAGAGTCAGTGATGCTTCTGGATGTTTACAGAACAGGACATGGCTTAGGACTGCACAGGGAGCTCAGGATGCAGACAATCTGTCCTGAGATAATGGGGATGCAGATGACTTGTAGGTCTGATAAAATACAGGGGAACTGGATGGGACAAATTCAGCCAGTGGAACAGAGCAAGCATATGCAAAAATGGAACAGAAGTATCTTGGGCATATGAACAAATTTATTTGATCAATCATCATCACTGTGAGAAGAAAGGAAGCATCAAAACTGAGTCCTAAATAATAAGCTAGAGAGAGTGGGAAAAGTCATCAAATCAGTCATCGAACTGCTGAATCTTGAAAGAATCCCTTGCATATAGCCAGATAAAATGTTTGGTGATAATTAAGACCAGTCATGGGTCAAAGATGAATATTTATTTGTACTTTGCCTTCGCAGATGATACCACTAAAATGTCCAGTTGTTATTACTTCACCATTAATTCTTCATGCAACCTGACCTATAATTTTTTAATCCATTTTTAAATTTATATATATATATATTTATTATAATAGTTTATTTTACATCATTTTGTGCCTTTTTCCATCTCAGTTGCAATCCCTGTGGGCTTCCCACCACCAATTCAACCATGTGCCATCACCATATCCCCATGTACACCCCCCATCACTTTTTTGATCCCATTCCCCACTCCACCCTCATAAAATGTCTCTGGTATATAGTTGTTCATTATTATTATCCCCTCCCCCCTGGTCCTTCATGCTCCTGCTATTTGTGAAACCATCTAGTATTTTTCTTTTTCTTTCTGGCTTATTTAACTAAATATGATCCCTTCCAGCTCCATCCATGTTGTCACAAAAGGCATGTGTTTATCTTTTTTGGTCGTTGAGTAATATTCCATTGTGTATATGCACCACATCTTTTTAATCCAGTCATCTACTTTTGGGCATTTGGGTTGATTCCATGTCTTTCCTATTGTAAATAAAGCAGCAATAAACATGGGGGTGCAGGTGTCTCTTTGAAGCAGCATTTTTTGCATCTTTTTCGGTAGATACCTAGGAGTGGGATTGCTGGGAACCTGACCCATAATTTTACACAGTTACCACAGGTCCAGGTATATTAAAAATCTTCAACATAATTAAGAACAGTATTGCTGTAGCTGGAACAAGTGGCGAAGCAACCTGTGCCTGTAGTGTGCAAGCACCCATTCATTAACAGCAGTAAATGAATGAACAGGACTGTGTTACAGTAAAATTTTATTTAAAAAACAGGAAATAAGTGGGGTTTGACTTGTGGGTTATAGTTTGTACATCTCAGCTCTCACAGGGATCTAGTGAATCAGTATTCACTCTACAGAGACTAAATGACTAGATGCCTGCTGTTTGTGTCACTGTGTCATTTAATATCACTGATTTTCCCACTGTACTTTTCCTTAAGAATTTGTTACTTCCACTTGAAAAACAGGATTGTGTGGCATGTTCTCTTCTGTCTCATTCCTTTTAACAAAGCAAGGTTAGTGCTCAGTAAATGTTAGACCCTGCTTAGTACAAAGCAGATAATATTAATCTTGTATTTATGTATTGAAGAAGAAGAAAGGTTAAGTAGCTTGCAGAAGTCACTAAGTAAGTAGAAGAGACAAATTAAAGAGCCAGCCATTGAATTTAACCTTAGTCTAAATGTACTAGACCCTTTTGAGAGCTGAGATGTATAAACTATAACCCACAAGTCAAACCCCACTTACTGCCTGTTTTTTAAATGAAGTTTTACTAGAACACAGTCCTGTTCATTCACTTACTACTGTGACGAATGGGCTCTTGCACATTACAATGGCAGAGGTGAGGACTCACAGCAGTTATCTTATGGCTGACAGAGCCTGAAATATTCACTATGTGGCCTTCACGAAATTTACTCCAACCTCTGTTCCAAAAGTAAGGAAAAGGTTCCTAAAGTCAAAAGTATACACACCACATGTGATTGTTTTATATCGCTAATTTCTCCAAATTGCTCTAATAACCGTTTGTGGTTATAGCTCTTAATAGGGCTTGTAAAGGAAAAGATTGGGCTCTGACTGCTTTTTACTGTTAGGCAAATTGCTCAAGTTCAATCAACATCTCTTTGAGCTTTTCCTACAACTTTTTAGGCATTGCATTCGCTAAAGGGCAACCCATTATCCAGATTCATGATCTGACAGAGGACACAGGTTTGTGCACTGCCACCTTCATGCGAAGTTGACCACAATGGGCTATACTAAAAAGTCAAAGAAACTGCTATGGTGTCACAAAGAAGGAAGTTTTTTTGTTGTTGTTTAAAACTTTTGATAGATTCAACAAGCTTTCAGGAAGAGATGAATTTGAAGTACAGAGAGGGACACTGTAAAGACCTAAGGGATGGGAAGAATTAGTAGTGGGACATAGTGTGTGATAAGATGAGTGTGTAGGCTGGGTAGAATTTATGACTCCCAGGCTTTCTGTGTACATATATGTGTATATATGCTCGATCTTTTAAGTTTAATTATAATAAAGCAAAATGGGTCAAGGTCTTGTAAGA